AACAGGGATACAGGGGAGAGGAGAAATGGTGAACTCCATATGTACATATACGCAGATTATTAAATGTACAGTATTTACAGCCTCTAACGCAGCTTCACCAAAATGGGCACCACCTGAGAACCAAAAGGAGCGTGAATGCAAGGAGCCAAAATGTAACTTTTGCAAAAATGTAATAGAATCAATCGCACTAGTTTTTTTCAAAATGCAAAGTAAAAGAATTTTAAAATTTTAATATAAAACTGTTCTGTTTACGTATAAATTGATATCTTTGAACTTCTTTTGGTCCAACACCACTTTATATATCTTGTGTTTCTGAGTCACAAAAATGGTCGCATATTTCCATTATAAAAAGATCTGAAGTCGATGATAGCGTCGTAGTGAGTACATGAGTAACATGTATTCCTTATAGAAGGAAGCAAAATTTGATGCACCACCAAGGGCTAAATACCCATATTGGTATTTTAATTCAACCCCATTTGCCAACAATGTATTTTAATTAGAAAATTCGGCGATAAGACATTTTAATTAAATAAAATTATCATTTAGGTCCTTTTTCTCGTCGGCGGCCACTTTTCCGGCGAGAACTCATCACGTACGTTGCACGTGGGGGCTTAATCTGTGTTTAAGATGCTGATGTGGCTCTGTTTTCTGACGTGGCAGGGAGAATAACCCTCTAAAAACCAATTCCCACCCAAAATAGGACATATTCCCCCTTTCGTTTTCAGAATTCGAGCGCGAGAGAGAGGGAGAAATAGAGAGTGAGCCATCATCGTTGAGGCAGTTGAAGGCGATAGATTGCAGAGATTTCAACTGATGGTGTTCCTCGGTGCATGCATTAGGTGATTTGCGGAGGACGACGACTTGGTACGGGTTGACAGGAATGCGAAGGTTTGATTCTCATTATACGTATGAAATCTTTTGGTGGCTTTGAAGAGGATAAGTTAATCACGTATTTAGTTTGAGTTAAATGTAAGATAAACCTAAAATTTGTTGCATTTTGTTAGATTTGATAGAATTAGGGTTTTCAAAGTAGTGGTTTTTTTTCCAAATAATGGGTTGAATTTGATAGAATTATTATCATTTTTCGTAAATTATGCAGATGGCTACGCAAATTATGATTAAATATAGACATGGGGGTCATTGGACTTCGGAAGTAATGTGGCATACATTGGTGGTTCAGTTGATGTTGAGTTTTGTGATGCAGAAGATATTTCATTAGAACAATTGAAGATTAGTGTTACAGAATATGGTTATAACAATGTCGGGATGTTGTATTATTCTATTCCTAGTGTAGGACTGGCTCGTGGAGGTTTAAAGCCTCTAAATTCAGATCAGGATCTTGCAGAAATGATTGAGCATGCATTGAGGCACAGAGTGATGGAAATCTATGCAAATCACGATGTTGACATGCCATTAGAAGTGATAGAAGGTCCTACTTCAATTGCTACATCTCATGATGGTGAAGATAAGGAATTATTTGATGAGTTTAGTGCAAAGAATAGATCAAGAAAGGGAAAGCAAATAATGAAAACAGATAAGAATGTAGATGAGAATGATGGTGGAGATATAGACTCAGCAGAATCTGAAGATATTGAGAGTCATAAGAGCCCAGTAGGAAGTGATGATGATGAGTTGTTTGAAATAAGGCAAAAAAACAAGAAAATTTTAGAGGAGGAGAAGGGTAGAATAGCATTTAATGCTGGGGAAAGATTGGTAGATGATGTAGATGGTCCCCCTCCTACAGTTAATGAAGCACAACCTGAACCACAACCACAACAAGCTAATGAAGTCAACACCAGTTCCACCCCTATTCATGATACAGATGCTGGTAATAACCCATCACATATTGCAGAATCGCATATGTCACATATTGTGGGATTGAATGTAGTAGGTCCAAACTCTAGAGGTACAATTCCTAAAACTCAAAACTGGCCTAGTTTTTGGACAAATTATGAAGGAGGCTATCAGAGTGATCAAAGAAGAAGTAATGATGAGGGACCATTGTTTGACAGTGATCATGAAGCACCTCAGATCAATATGAAAAAGAAAAAAAAAGAAAGAGTGAACTACAAGTATTTCAATGAGAGAGTGGATATGAAAGCTGTGCATTTTGAGCCAGGTATGCACTGCAATAATTACTTCATTGTGTTGTCTTAATTATACATCATTGTCAAAACTAATCATTTGTGTTTAATTTTTTTTTCAGGGTTAAAGTTTACTTCTAGGAGTGTGTTAAAGGAGGCTATTCTAAATTATTCTATTCAACAGCACTATGATCTAGTGTACATGAAGAATGACACTAAGAGGATTCACATGGGTTGTTCACTTTGCTTTTGGCAGATGACTGCTGGTCCAGATTGTCATGAGGCTGGTGTTTGGCAAATAAAATTTATTAATCATGATCATACTTGCTGCAGGACTTTTAAAAATAGATTAATAACTGATAACTGGATTGCACATGTTTATCTTGATAAAATTCTGAGGGATCCAAAGATGAAGCCAAGTAACATTGTATCTGACATTTATGAGAATTTTCAAATTAATGTCTCATTGAAAAAATGTAGGAGGGGGAAGCAGAAAGCTCTAAATGCAGTCCAAGGATTAATGCAAAGACAATATGGCTTGCTAAAACCTTACATGAAAGAACTAATGAGGTCAAATGTAGGTACTACTTGTGTTCAGAAGGTGGCTGAGGGAGAGGCAGGACAACCAAGCACATTCCTTAGATTTTACGTTTGTTTTGAGGCATTGAAGATGGGTTTCACTTTGGGGTGTAGAAGAATATTTGGTCTTGATGGCTGTTTTTTGAAACATGCTTGTGGAGGGCAATTACTTTGTGTAGTGGGGAGGGATGGTAATAACCAAATGTGGCCCATAGCATGGGCAGTGGTTGGGGGGGGGAGACAAGGAACTCATGGCAATGGTTCCTAAGAATTTTGACTGTGGATCTAAACATGAATGATGGTAATGGTTGGACAGTTGTGTCAGACCAACAAAAGGTTTGTGCAATGCTATCTTTATTTCAAATTTTTCTTTCATGAACTCATTGTGATTAACTCAAAGTTTGCTTTCATGATCTCAAATTTTCCTCCTACTATGCATTTCAGGGATTGGTTCCTGCTATACATGAAGTGTGGCCAGCAGTTGAGCATAGGCAATGTGCTAGGCACATTTATTCTAATTGGAGGAAAATTCATAGTGGGAGGGTCCTGCAAAGTCAATTCTGGAAATGTGTTAAAGCCACCTCTATGCCAATTTTTCAAACTGAAGCTGCCAAGCTAAGGATAATTTCAGAGCAAGCTTACGAAGACTTCATGGCTAGAGACCCCAACACATTCTGTAAGTCTCATTTCAAATGCCCAGTAAATGTGATGTTGTAGACAACAACATGGCCGAAACATTCAACTCTTTTATATTACTTGCAAGATATAAACCTATAGTGTCCATGTTAGAGGATATTAGATTATCTATAATGGATAGAATGCAAGAGAAAAAGAAATTGGTGAGTAAATTTGTGGGGGGAGTTGCACCTAGAATTCATAAGAAGTTGGAGGAAGCATATCAGGAGCAAGTTCATTGTCGTGCCCATTGGAATGGTGATGAGAATGAAACTGGTTTTGAGATAATCCATAGAGGGCAAAGTCATGCTGTAGATTTGAAAAATATGACATGTACATGTAGGAATTGGGACTTGACAGGAATACCATGCACACATGCAGTCAGTGCTATTTTACTTATGAGAAGGAAACCTGAAATGTACTTATCAGAGATGTATTCTCAAGAAAACTATTTGATTGCCTATGGAGGAATGTTGAATCCATTACAAGGGAGTAATTATTGGGATATAGAGGGAGAGGGAATGGTGTTACCCCCAAATATTGTTAGAAGGCCAAAGGGGAGACCCAAAACTGCTAGGAGGAGAGACCCATCTGAAGGTTCCAAGCATCCTTCTAGGTCATCAAGGCAGGGATTAATACAAAAGTGTAGCAATTGTCACAGAACAGGGCATAGAAGACCCAGTTGTCCTGATGCAGCAACAAATCCTCCCAGGCCAGCACATCAACAGGTATTGTAATGCCAATTATTTAGATATCTTTAATAATCTCATATGCAATCGTATTATCTAACCTCTCCATTGATTTACTTCTAAGAAAATCAATCTCAAGTTCTTACTGAAGGCACAAGTGGAAGGAAGAAAAGAGGAAGACCAAAGGGGAGCAAAACCAGACCTAACATTTCCATTGAAGAGCATAGTCAAACTAACACTCTTCCACCATCTCAAGTTTTCATAAATAAAAGATCAATGGCTAGAGGTAATGAACAATACATACTCTTGTGCACCAAGTTTTCATATAGATTCTTACTGATGCACTGAATTTGTTATGTATTCTCTAAGCTCAATCTCAAAATGCTAGAGGAAGGAGTGATATACGACGGGGCCGAGGCAAAGGAAGAAATAATGCAGTCATTATGCCAGAGAGTTTTGGCCTATGACATGGTGATCATGGTGAAATAGCTTATAGAGACCCAAGTGCCTCTCAAGCAACAATCATACAGGATTCAACTCCAAGGACAACCCAGGATGTACACCAAGAGGAGCATACACAGGCTTCATGTGCACATAATAGTGGGTTGTAATTATATGTAATTATAGTTTAGCTTTTGGTAATATATAGACTTGAGGTAGTTGAATGACTTTTTACTTGTTGCTGGTTATTGTAATCATGACAAACACATGACAGTCAAAGAGTGACTAATGTAGTTTGGCTTTTGGTTTGTATGTTGATTGTGCAATGTGATTATGAGCTTCTGTACATGAACTTAAGCTTGGAGTTACTGGTTAGTATGTTGATTGTGCAATGTGATTATGAGCTTCTGTGCAAGAACTTAATTCATGAATACAGGGCAATGTGATTATGAGCTTCTGTACATATAGAACTTAAGCTTGGAGTTACTGGTTTTTACGTTTGATTGTGCAATGTGATTATGAGCTTATCTGAAACTCTCATCTCTCAATTTTGATATTTCTTCCAAAGAGCAAGCGTTCTCATCGTATAAAACCTGGAGCTGGTCTCTGAAATTGGCATTTTCAACATGGCAATCCTTCACTTCGGCCTCAACTCTTTGAATCTGCCTATCCCTGAGCTTCAAGTCACTCCTCAAGTTAAGTATTTCATCTCGTAGAATAGGAAATAGAGTAGAAGACACATTGCAGAGAGGTCTATCGAACCATTCCCACATTCCACAGCCACCATTAGGATTTTGACATTTATAAAACCTTCTCCCAGGATTTTCATCTGTAAATGATGTATAATACCCATAATCCATTCTACACTTACAGATTTTCATGCCAACCGCCCTTGCTTCCTCGTTCCACCTTCTAATACCTGCCAAAGAATTCAAACCATGATTATTACTTACATGCGATCCCAATTTTCCACTCACCCTGCTTGCTTTAGAACGAGAGCTTGAATGAAAGCTCGAACTTGATGCCGATGACATAGTTTCTTCTCTTCCAATGGCCCGATGTCATAAACCCTAATTCCCAATTTTCCCCAATTCGATCCCTCTTTTATTCTCTCTGCCACGTCAGAAAACAGAGCCACATCAGCATCTTAAACACAGATTAAGCCCCCACGTGCAACGCACGTGATGAGTTCTCGCCGGAAAAGTGACTGCCGACGAGAAAAAGGACCTAAATGGTAATTTTATTCAATTAAAATGTCTTATCGCCGAATTTCCTAATTAAAATACCTTGTTGGCAAATGGGGTTGAATTAAAATACCAATATGGGTATTTAGCCCACAACCAAGTATGAATTCTCTAAAGTCTCTCCAGTGATGAGAGAATACAGGGAATAAGCTTGTGATAAAATTTAGCAGCCAAAAAGCTACCCAATGCCTGCAGGTTATTTCTATGTTTTATGGTGGAGGCGTGGAGCACGTGCTCAAATTTACACTGTTGTACTTCTTTCCCTGCTACATTTTCTATGTTCAGTTAATTCTTCATAAAGCTCCCTAGACGGTTAATTTTAGTCCAAATAAATTGGAAGGGGGATGGGATTGACAGATAGCAAAATAAAGGTAGAAAGTTCTATCCAATGCTTACCCGACATAGTTTTGACACAAATTTTCATGGGATGTGGCTTGTAAAATTAACTTCTGAACCTGAAGTTTCACAGATAGACCATGATCAACGTCACGAGTATCCCCAGAAATCAAGGCACTATGGTGATCAGTATGCTGGATTGAACTGGCAACCCCTGACACTGATGTTCCAGAAGAAAAGTCCGTCCAGTCAGCTTACTGCTCATCCGTGCCATAACCACCACCGCTTGTTCATTTAAAACCTCATTAGCATCACCAAGTTGATTGACAGCCTATGGATAGTCAAAATATTTTTAATTAGCATCACCAAGTTGATTGACAGCTGATGGATAATCGAAATCTTTTGACTGCTATAACAAACCAATACCAAAATTCATATCATCAAAGGGGCACAGGTAAGAAAGACAAGATAGTCCTCAACACGGCTGATTGAAAAAGTAAAATTCATGCAACCAATCAGACAAATTGGATTAATGCATTGGTGCTGCTGTTATTATTATCAGCAAAGGGGCAGCATACTAACCTGCAGCAGTTCTCTCTCCCGAGCACCACGCAGAGGTTGAGGGAGATCTCCATTAGGTGCAAATTCCTCACTGTTCACAACGTGATGAACATGAGAGTTTCCATAGTTCCGCTATTTGAGGAACTTCATTAAAATTGAACAGTATCCAATTGATAAGAGGATCGTGTACGAAAGCCTGAAATCAAACACATCCAAGGTTTAGATTTTGCAAAAGAAAGTATCATGGAAATCTAAAATTTCAAGGTTCCAATCTGACAGCACGTATAAAATTACAAGGCGAGGGATGCAAATTATTACATTAAAGATAAAGAAGGCAACAAAATCATAGAGTCCCAGAGAATTAGAAATATCCTATTGAAGTCATCCCTATATATCACTTTAAAAAAATTCAGAAAATATTTCCCTAAGATCTATTTGAGATAATCAAACTTGCTGTTTGTCGAGGTTATTAGCATTCCACCACTTGATACAGCTCTATGCTTATAGAAAACTGGCAAATAACCGAAGTTATAAGCATACCACTTATATGTGTTGCTTATTATCTTGGGCAAACAATGACACAACCGCTGTCTGAGAAGTTTGACTGATATTTAACTATCCTTACATTATGCATGCCCTCACATAAAAAAACACAGTTCCCATGTATTTTAATCAGGATCAAGAACTTTAGTTTTCTATCTAGCTAATTAGAATCAAGGACTTCAGTCCTCAGGCCAGATCTTTGCCTCTAGCTTTCTAGTTAAAACCAAAAGAAAATAACAAAGATGCAATAATCATGATTCCTTTACCTCCATCATAGCCATGACGCTATCCTTATTGGTCCGCAGAACTTGCATCACATTTTCACAGTTCGACCTGAAATTACCTTCAATACCACTAACTTCCATAGCCTTCACGAGCATTCTAGTTAAGCGAAAAGGTACCTGCCAGTTACATAGAGAAGAAATATCTAGCCTAAAAAAACTACTTAAGGATCATAAACCATGCACAAAAATAAGAAAGTTCAATGATGAAAAAAAACTACTCGCATACATAGTAAAAGAGCAGTTTGGATTCTTACCTGCAGCGTATGTTCCGGGTACAGCAAGCTCTAAATCTCGACATTTTAGCAACTCAGGAGAGACAGACTGAATACGAGTAAATTAAATGCTTATGGTAGACCCTGCTACTCATATTAATGCCGAGATCAAGTTACTTTCTAATAAAGTACAAATGACAGTGATATGTCCCCTAATCTTTTAATGCTCTCTTAGTTGTTTTTAATTAAGTTCTTTAGATCTATTTCGAGTAATTAATCTATGTTCCAAGTGGCTAACATTTTCTAATTGTACTTTTTCATCTCTCTATGCATAAATATCAGGATATTTTACCAGATCCATGCTTTTCTAGAAGAGCTAATCCTCCCTCGTAGCCGTCTGGTGGTTGGCTGAAGAAAGTCTTTAATTTCAAAAAGTCATATCTCCCCAAAGTAACTCCTTCTGTAGGGGTTAATGTGATCTTTCATAAGTATTCTTCTAATGATGCTTTGTATATTTAAATTATGATGCAAAATAAAATGGACACTAGTGAATTCGTATCTATCTGTATCTGGCAGGCTACGAATACCTATATTAAATATCCATATCTATGTAGATACGGATATGGATACAAACATCATTTAAATAATTTTTAAAGATAAGAGTACAGCTATGGACATAGCTAAAACCATCTAAGCTGAAAGTGGATCCTAATATCTATTTACTCAGGCCAGTAAAACAGTTCCAGCCTTCAATTAGTGGATCTGAAACCTGTTTCCATGACCCGAGATTTAGATCTTAAATTTTAGGCTTATTAATGTATTGGTGAAATAAATTATATTTAAACAACTCTTTATTATATAATCTGCATGCTTTTGAGTTATCAATTTCTCCTCTCATCCAAGCAATATGTATATTCAACGCTGATGCATGAGAATGCATCATTTTGATGATATGTGAAGTGCGACTTAGACTGAAGATTATGCTTCTACACTTGTTCTGTATTAACAAGTGATACTCTGAAGAAAATGATTCAATCATTAATCAACCACATTATGCCTTAGCTATAATGCACCGATGACAATTCAGTCATTAATAACCTATGGATGTGAATGCATCATTTCAATCACTCAATCATGTCTACTTTCTATCAGTTACTTTTCACCTCCTTAACCTACAAATTCTATTCAATGTTATCTAGTGATATTGGACTCATCCGTCTCTTTTGTAGAAACTATTTTGTCTCGGAGACCTAGTCAAAAAAAAAAAATACTGGTCATGTCAGTGACATCCTCTAAAATTTTAGTTTTTTATTTCCTAATTTTGTTTATTGCACTGTGAATGAAAACGCTCCAGGTCATGTTCACAGGAAGAGTGGAAGGTTTGATCAGAATCGCCATTCTTCTGTTTTGCTAATTTCCGCTGCCTATGTTATATATATATATATATATATAGAGAGAGAGAGAGAGAGAGTATATATAAAGAGAAATTTTTATGTCAACTTAAGTGGACCATCCACCTACTTTCTCACCCATTGATGTTGCTTAGGGATCCATGAGAGATCTCTCTTCTTATATATATGCGTGGATAAAAACTTTGGTGA